ATTTACATTTAGTCATTTAGCAGACGCTTTTATACAAAGCGACTTACAAATGAGGACAATGGAAGCAATCAAAATCAATAAAAGAGCAATGATATGCAAGTGCTATAACAAGTCTCAGTTAGATAAACGCAGGACACATAGCACGTTTTTTTTTTTATTATATAATAAATAAAAAGAAGAATAGATAGAATAGAAAAAGAATAGAGCAAGCTAGTGTTAGAGGCCTTTTTTGCTTTTGATAATTGTATAATAAATAAAAAGAAAACAAATAGATAGAATACAAAAAGATTAGAAAAGCTAGTGTTAGTTTTTTTAAAGAATAGAATTAGAATAGAGAGTGCTAGAGTTAGAGGGTCAAAAAAAGATGGAAGAGATGTGTTTTTAGCCGATTCTTGAAGATGGCTAAGGATCAGTCAGCCAAATCTCTAACCGTAATGATTAATTATTGACTTTGAAATAAATTATTGGTTGTTAACTTTACTCTTCAACTCTTACACATTTAAAAAATCTGTTTTTGAAGAGGAAGTTTGTGAAGAGGAAGTCATCCCAAATAGTGCAAATGAATGCACACTTTTAATCTCTAATGCTATTTACAATATATACTATACAAATTTGGTTGTAGTATAAACTTCTGAATCAAGTCACCACCACATGATGCTGATGTGAAAAACTGTCACATTTTAAGATGGATGTGTTGTTTGTAGAACCAGAACTCTGAAAAACTAAAAAGCAATTTATTTAATTCGAAGGCCGTTCGTTATTTTTTATTTGTGCTATCATTATTAATTTCTTTATTTGTTCTTATTTTATTACTGACTGCTTACTTTTTTATTCAATTCAAAGTTTGAAATCAAGCTATCTCGTGCCACTGTAAAGTAATACTGAGCCCTGAGGCACCATGCAAGGTGTGGCTCACGTTAAGGAAAACATGAAGTGTTGTGCACGATTGTGGTTTTGCATGTTTTGAGGTATTAATCATGTCCATACCTATAGGTTATGCAAGTTTTATTCATAATACAATTTCAGTTTTTCTACTTCAAAATTTCATGTTTAATTCAATGTAATTTCTTTATAATTATTTGTGAAATTTACTAGCAATTTCTGAGTGAAAAATTTTCACTACACCAATTTTTTTTCAGTGTACTAGACTATTAGAATTCCAAAGCAACAACTACTGTACAATTCCAGCATATTAAAATAACACAAAGATAAATGTACAAAGAATATGAATATATAATAGATGAACCCTAAAGCAGCCACAGTTAGGCCCCAGTCAGAAAAAGGGGATTAAAAGATTAACAGACGCTCTTCTTAATCGCCCGTCCACGTGGAGCGAGGAACTGATGTCAGTCATGCAAGACGCCAACATGTCCTGCTGTGCTGACATCACTGGCCTTCTCATGCCTTCCCATTGAGATCCAGACACATTAAACAGTGCGTATTTTAAAATGGAATTTGAACATGGAAATTTTAAACTAATCCATTTTGTAGGCTTATTAATGTTGGAAATTAAATTTAGTCAAAGTTTGGCCATGTTGACGTGCCTCATGAGTAGTTTTACTAGATAAAAAGTGTAAAAGATTTGCAACCTAAAATTATATATACATATAGAATTATTTATAATATATTTTTTATTTCTTGACTCATTTAAATACCATGCGTGTATGTATGTATGAATATTCGGAAATCATTATTTTTTAAATAATATATACTTATAATTTCTTGACCCATATATGGACTTTAAATATTATTTTTAATTATAATATTCATAATATAAATGTTTAACTTTTAACTTAGTAGGCTTATTAACGTTTTATATATATTTGTTTTTTATTGTTTTATTATTTTTTTATCAGATTTATTCATTTATTTCCAAACAACTTAGTTGTCCGGAATTTCTTGGTGAGCTCAAACACAACTAAGACACTAAGACAAAAAAACAAACACATTCGTAAATGCATACATAAATTATTCCAACCTTTATAAAGAATGAAATACAGATGCATAAGTGCCAGAAGAGTTTAAAACATGGACCATCCTACAATAGGTACTGTTCAAAAAGTATATATATATATATATATATATATATATATATATATAATTTTCAGTATGCATATACTGTATATATTTATATATGAAAACAAATCATGAAAAATAATTATATATTTTTTGCTTCTTGAGTCTCTCTCTCTATACACATTTCTGTATGCATATGTTATAAACGCAATATGGTATCACATTTCTTAAAACATGATATTTTCTCTACAAAAAATATTTTTTTAATACCTGGATAAAACAATCTGCTTTGTTCATGTGCTGAAGCACAATAACAATAGCAATAGCAGATTGTTATTAAAAGTGTCACAGCGCTAATACTTAATACAGTACAATGAGATTTCAGCACAGCTGTGATACTGTACTGCAGATCCAGCACTCAAGGACAGGTAGAGGGCTTTACTGCAGAGATCATACATCTACTGACTATGTGGCCACCATTCGGCTCAGCTTGGCCTCTCTTAAAGGGGTCATATGATGCGATTTCATTTTTTCCTTTCTCTTTAGAGTGTTACAAGCTCTTGGTGCATAAAGAAGATCTGTAAAGTTTTGTAAAAATCGACGCGTTTCAAAAAGGCGGGGCATAGAGGAGAAACAATAATGTACAGTATGTGGAAAATAATGTGTTTTTTTTTACTTTAAACCGCATAAACACATTTCATTACACCAAATACACAAAATAATGTTCTTTTTAGCAGCATCATATGACCCCTTTAACTCTGATGCACCGCTACACAGTGCTGCAAAAACAGCCAGTAACCTGGCAACACAAAGTCTGGACCGCTGCTGTGTCTCACAGTGCATACTGTATATGTGTTAGTAACGGCACAGCGTCAATCCGAGCAGCTCAATGAAAGATCTGTGACCTCAGATAGCACAGACAGAAGAGTGAGCAGCTCGCTGAACTGAACGCAGAGCTGTATAAAGAAACAGAGAAGGCAGCTAGCTAACGTGACCTCTGACCTCTACCATAAAGTCTTTCAATAGAGGCGGAGTGTTATCAAGTTATGTGCTCTAAATTCATGAACAGTAACAAATACTGTAGTACATGCAGAAGTTTAATAGGGTTAGGGGTTAGTTCAAATCTCTAGGCTTAAATATGAGGAATAGTTTTAGTGATTCTTACCTAATTGAGTGCTACAGATTAACACAACAGGGGTCTCTTAACTTTAATTGGTTCACATCAAGAACTTTAGACTGTTTAAATAGAGACTGAGTTCTCTAAGGGGAGTTAGGGAAATTAGCAAATCTTCAGTTCAGGTGCAGAGAAACCTCTTGTGAGGTCTATAGGAAATCAATTAGCTTCAGTGATTTGAAACAAATTAGAAACATTGTATCAAAACTGAAAAGTCTCCAGATACCAACACCTCCAGTTAAAGAGGGACGCAGAGAAAGATTTTCCTTTAGCAATTACTGCGATATATTAAATAAACAGGTGACACAGCAATAGAAATTTACTATTTAGTGACCCTCATGCTGTTCCAAACTTGTATGACTTACATTCTTGCATCAGTGTTGTTTTTGTTAACTAAAACTATTAAAAATTATTTTTCCTATTTGAAATGAGCTGAAATAAAATGTAAATATTCAATAGAAAACTTTAAAAACATTTAAAAATAGAAATGTTGCCTTTGCAACTATCTTAAGTTTAATTACTAATATTAATAAAACTGAAATAGAAATAAAAATAAATGAAAGCTAAATAGAAATAAGACAAAAGCACATAATAAAGTTACTAAAATGTGGACTGTGAAAAACGGAAATATAAAAATAAAAGCTAATTCAAAATACTAATTAAAGCTATAATAGTATACTAATAATATTAAATAATGTTGAAAATATCACACTATTTTTAGTCTTATATTTAAAAATATATTTTATATTAAAGTGCCCCTATTATGGGTGATGAAAGGTTCATATTTTGGTTTTGGGCAGCACCTAGTGGCAAAGAATGAATTTGCATCTTCATTCAGACCAAAGCAAAAAGACCAACAAGTGGGCAGGCAATATGCTAATGTTTCATGTTGATGTCAACATGAAACGGCTTGGGATTCGTTTTAAAAACGACTCGTTTCAATTATTCAGAGTCGACTCTTTCTTTTGAGTGACAATAACTTTATACACGGTGCACTTTCAGATTTAAATCTTTGCAGGATGTTTTCATTCACTTAGAGCTGTGTTACACACTGCATGAAAGGTAATTTTCAAAAATCCATAATAGGGGCACTTTAAATAAAATATTGTTTTTTTTAATTTTTTTTTAAAGTCATTAATAATGAAAATCTTGCCATTCACTTTCATAACACGAGCAATTTGGATTTTGTCCTTCCAGTGATACAGGTTTTCAAACACAATTTTTATTTTTAGGTGAACCGTTCCTTCTAAGAAAGACCAAAACCCACCTATACACAAATAATAGATTCCACAGGTTTAAATTTGACCTGGCTAAATTTGTCTTTTGAGAATGCGGAAAGTAAATATCACAAGTATCTCACAGACTCAACCTGTGAACACAGTAAAAGTCAAGAATGTGTGACATGAACCGTATTTACTCTCCTCCTGCCAGCAGGACCTTTTTGGTCTTTGACGGGCCTGATTTGATTTGGCAAAACAATTCAGGAGCCTATCAGTATTCCACACAAAGACGACACGTTGAATTTGGAGATCTGCACCGGGAGACTGTAATTTTGTTACCTTAGAGCTGCTTGTTGGGGGTAAAGTAACTACTTGAGCAAGAAGAGCTCCAAGAGTCAGCCAGTTCTCACTGGACGCTCATGCATCTCATCTTTCTCGAGCTGGCACGTCTTATTTGAATCACTTATTGTTTTCGGACGAATTGATGGTCTTCGTGAAATGTTCCCAGCGGTTGGTTTCCATGACCTTTCCCCTCTACCACAGGTGGTTGAGACTTTAGATCCAAAACACACTGACATCTTCTCTATCTAAATAACCAGATGAGAATGAAATCAAGTTATCTATCAAGACAGAAAGGAATTGCAACCCAAGTGCTAACACAACATTGATCAAGTCTTGACATTTTTCTCACTGCAGGCATCCAGGGCAGTGCCAAAGACAAACACTGCTTTTGGAAGAGATATCATGATCGCTGTTACAGTTCACACATTCAGCGTAACTTTATACATCTTGGAAAAATGTTTTTTAGTCTATTATTGAATAAGACAGGAAAACAATATTGGAATTTTCCCAAGGATAGTGGGAGATGGCCAAAAAGTGGGATAATTAAAATCTTTTACTGTTTTTTGAAAGAAGTCTATTGTGCTCACCAAGGCAGCATTTATTTGATCAAAAATGCAGTACTGAAATATTGTGAAATTTTATTACAATTTAAACTGAAGTGTTTCTATTTGAATATATTTAAAAATGTAATTTATTCCTGTGATGCAAAGCTGAATTTTCAGCATCATTACTCCAGTCTTCAGTGTTACATGATCTTTCAGAAATCATTCTAATATGCTGATTTGCTGCTCAAGAAACTTTTTAAATTATTATCAATTTTGAAAACAGTTTTTACTGCCTAATATTTTGTGAAATCTGTGATACACTACCATTCGAAAGTTTGGGGTAAGTGAAGAAATCACATTGAGCGGGGCAGTGCAATTGCTTTTGTATGCATGCAGGCTTTTTTGCTTTCACTTTCAAAGAATAAATTACATTTTAAAAGATTATTAAGATTAAAAAAAACATTATTTTAATTTTTAAAATCATATTTTACAATATAACAGTTTTCGCTGTATTTGTGATCAAATAAATGCAACCTTGGCAAGCAGAAGAGACTTTAAGAAATCTTAATTATTCAAAACTTTTGGCTGGCAGTGTAAGATCTAGAGAGGATTCTGCAATTATATAAATTATTATGTAAAGTGATTAGGGTGTACTCTACTCTAATGCATCGATCTAACATTGTCTAGATAATCATCAAGTATTTCACGTTTTATATAACGTACATTCTATCATATCCCCCTAGAGTACATCCCCATACATCAGGACAAAAACTCTTTAACACACATCTTTGCTGCTAACGTATGGCCATTCATTCAGCAAACGCTGGAAGGCATCCAGGGCGCTGGGGACACGGGGAGACGGCTTCGTCATTCAAGCAAACACAATGGTTCCCTTTCTAATGGGGTCCTAAAGTGTTACGCAGACTTGGCCTTCTCATTCTATAGCCATCAGAAGATGACTCATAGAGCAAAAGAGAGAGAATCAGTGAAGTTGATGATGAGAGACGCACCATGACTACTAATGCCACGCATATCCGTCATAAGACAACGGCTATGTTCCAAAATCTAATGAGATGACTACTTAGACAGCATTTCAGACACATTAAAATTAAAATAGGCTAATTAAAATAATTCACTAAAGCCAAATCAATATATTAATATAAATTAATTAATATATATATTACTTTATATTTACATCATTTTTTAAAAACTTTTTTATTCTTTAAGACAAACGTAGAATTTTCCCTTAAAGCTATTTTTGTAAGGGCATGTGTGACCTTGTGTGCTTTCGTGCATTGCATTCAGTGCAATAAGGCTCAAACTAGGCTTTCATATATATTCTATATAGAGCAATTTCTCCTTCATTATCCATTTTTAGCTGCATTTGATACTCTGAAACACAAGTGTACAAAGGATGATATACAATGTCAGTGTGCAGCAGTAGATGAGTGTTGATTTAAGACACACCCCCTAGCTTAAAGGAAAAAAACCCAAAGAACTGGATCATCTTACAAACCTGTGATCCTGCACGTACAATATGCACTTCCATTGTCTATAAGCAATGTCATGGGACACTGGTTTAATGATACATTTAACACAACAGCTTATTAATTATTACTAACAAATGTATACAGTGTTTAACAGGTCATTAAGGCCAATTCAAATAGTGGGAGACTAAAATTCATATATTGTATAATCACACAGTGGCCACTAAGTAGTATTTGGATACTTAATTGATACTTATAAAATATACATAATTGTATTAGAAAACAAAAGATCAAACTCAATGGCATCTGATTAATAATGCTAAAGCTTTTCTCAGTACAAAGTTTACTGGGCAATTTTGTCTACATTTTTAACAGTCTATATATTGCTTTAGCATTAAAAACCAACTAATCACCTTTTTATTTTATTTATTTATTTATTTATTTATTTATTACAGGGACAATGCATATTAATAAACATTTCTGTCAATATGCCAGAATTAGCCAGAAGGCTATTTTTCACCTGCAGTCCCTTTAAAACCAAAACTTTGCTTGAAATGTGTTTTAAATTAATGACACTTGATTTGATGCTTTGTTTTGTTATTAATGCAATAACATTCAGATTTTTAAGGTACAGACCGATACTGTATACCGATATTCATGTCTTTACTTAATCATTTATTAATTCTTTAATATAATGACTACCAATCAATAGCACCAAAACAGCACCTATTACATCATGGGCTATTCAACAGGAAACAACACTGTTCACAGGTGATACCTTACTATTTGAAGATATTATTTGCATATGCAATTTTTGTTGAAGGACTGAGCAACACATAGCATTTTAAAATTACTACTACTTATATATATTAGTGCTGTCAAACGATTAATCACGATTAATCGCATCCAAAATAAAAGTTTTTGTTCACATAATATACGTGTATATTGTGTATATTTATTATGTATATATAGATACACCAATCGCATGGGCACTTGAATCTCTCAGAGAGAAGGCGACTGAGGAGACGGCAAAACCAAAGCGGCCCTTTACGCGCGCTGATCAGATGAATGTAATGGAATTACATTCACGAATTGATCGCCTAAATCTCTTCAGACCATCGTTCTCGTCGGTATTTAACACCCAGAATGTATCAATGAGACGCGAGTCGGTGTCTACGGGAGCTGCGGCTGCTGCTGCTGTCACTCTGTGCGCGCGGACGGACTGTCTGACGTGTCCGCGTGAAGCCGCTCGGTGTTTTATCGGGCTCCGTAACGTCATTTGGAGCTCAACCCTCCCCCTCAGTCCCGCTTAAGGAAAACAGGGTATGGAACGCTCACGTACGCTGCACACTACACACTGTATACTACATACTACGCAGCAAGTGCGCTTCTAGATCACTGGAGCTCTGCGCGAGATCAGATATGAAAGATTTTATCACAGTGAGAATGCATTATGCAATTCATTGCAGTTTGGTTGCATTACGAAAACAATAATTACAAAAATAAATCAGCATAAATTAACGGCAGTAAAATCGACTGTGGTTTATAAATACATATGTTTCTAACATAAAATGTACTTTACATTATATTTACATTTTATCATTTAGCAGACGCTTTTATCCAAAGCGACTTACAAATGAGGACAATGGAAGCAATCAAAATCAACAAAAGAGCAATGATACACAAGTGCTATTTATTTATAGCATCTATGTATTATATATATATATTATATATATAAAAAAATAAAAAAAATAAAAAAAAATATATATACATAGTGCCCTCCATAAGTATTGGAACAGTAAAGACAAATTTGCTGTGCCAACAAAAGAGCAATGATACACAAGTGCTATTTATTTATAGCATCTATGTATTATATATATATATTATATATATAAAAAAATAAAAAAAATAAAAAAAAATATATATACATAGTGCCCTCCATAAGTATTGGAACAGTAAAGACAAAATTGCTCTGTTTGCTGTGCAGTCAAGAAATCTGTAAATATGTTTAAAAGATGAATATGAGACAAAACTACAAATTGTCACATTTTATTATTGGGTGTTTCAATACATATGTTTTTCCAACTAAGAAGATCAACACTTTTAGAGTTTCATCCCCCTATCTGGTGTGAGCATAAGTATTGGGACAATTGCCTCACAGGTCTTTCCGAGTGATCAGCTGTATCCTGTTGCATTAATTGTTCAGATATTAAAAGCAGGGAATGTGTCTCATCAGTTATATCCATTGCTTCTGCATTCTGAGTCTTGCATTCGATGACGACACACAAACGAGGATGAAGACGAGGGAGCTGACTTCGAGAGAAAAAAAGCAATTTGGATGCTAAAAGAAAAGAGGAACTCATTTAGAACTATAGCAAAAACAAAGGGCATGAAGCAATCAAGAAACCACCGGTGACATCAGCAACCAACAACGACCTGATCTGCTGAGAAAAACAACTGCAGTTGATGACAGACAAATCACAAAAGCTGTGAAAATGAACCCTAAAATACGTGTCTGTAAAATCACCAACAACCTCCAGAAAGCTGGGGTGTCCGCAGGAGACTTTGACATACAATTACAGATGCTACAGCAAGATGCAAACCTCTGACAAGCACCAAAAATAGAAAGGCAAGATTCAAGTTTGCAAAAAAGCACAAAGGTGAGCCACTAGAGTTTTGGAACAGAGTTTTATGGACAGAGGAGACAAAGATGAATCTTTATCTAAGTGATGGGAAAGCAAAAGGGTGGAGAGAAAGGGAACTGCAAATGATCCTAAGCATACAGCCTCATCTGTAAAGCATGGTGGAGGTGGTGTCATGGCATGGGCATGCATGGCTGTCTCTGGAACAGGCACTCTCAATTTTAATGATGACTTAATGTATGATGACAGTAGCAGAATGAATGCAGAAGTGTACAGAAACATCTTCAATGTTCAAGAAAATGCCACCAGATTCATTGGGAAGCGTTTCATATAGCATCAGGACAATGACCCAAAACACCCTGCCAGTTCAGTCAAGAAGTTTATCAGGGCAAAGAAATGGAAAGTCTTAGATTGCCCAAGTCCATCTCCAGATTTAAACCAGATTGAACATGAATTTCACCAGCTCAAGAGAAGACTAAAGGCAGATACTCCCCAAAACAAGCAACAGTTGGAATTGGCTGCATTACAGGCTTGGAAAAGCATTTCAAAAGATAAGACTAAGAGTCT